TATTTATTTATATACAAGAAGGTACATTGGGTTTGTGAGAATACATAGCATAGTATTTACAATCTTGAAAAGCCACTAGTATGCGCAGCGTTTCAGGCAGGTCCTTAATTTAACAGATAATTTTAAGTACGAAAATTCTAGCAGAATTAATAAAATGATAACAGATACATTGCAAACAAAAAATGAGATGAGAGAGATTAGTAAGTATATTAAAGCACATTGGTATATTGAAGCTCCGATTGATTACATTGACAGCTTGATTGGTAATTTAAACAAGATTAATAGGCACCATACAGCAGATTGATAGCACATATAAGAAGACAGCAATGATCACAATGGTAAAGATGTTCGGATTGGTACATAAAGATTGGGAGATTGAGTAGCAATAGATACAGTGCAATTTTAAAGCAACAAGGTAAAAAACTATGAAGATGAAATTAGGTACTTTTTAGTTTTGTTTTTGAATGACGCAAAAGTTGGACAGCTTTTCAATTCATTAGGGAGTGAGTTCCATAGACTGGGCCCCTTTATTTGCATAGAGTTTTTACACAGATTAAGTTTGACTCTGGGGATATCAAAGAGATATTTATTTCTGGTGTGGTGATAATGGGTCCTATTACATCTGTCCAGGGAGAGTTTCAGAGCAGGATTTGCATTTAAGAACAGGGTTTTGTAAATGTAATTGACACAAGAAAATTTATGTAGTGAGATTATGTTTAGCATGTTTAGGGAGTTAAACAAGGGGGCTGAGTGTTGTCTGAAAGCAGAATTTGTTATAATTCTGATAGCAGATTTTTGCCGAGTGATGATGGCCTTGAGGTGGTTTGCAGTGGTAGACTTCCATGCACAGATACCATAATTAAGATAGGGATAGATTAGTGCATAACATAGAGAGATGAGAGCAGAGTTAGGTACATAATATCTGATTGTGGAGAGTATACCAACTGTTTTAGAGACTTTCTTAGTTATGTGTTGTATGTGGGTGCTGAAGTTGAGTCTCTTGTCTAGGAATAGGCCAAGAAACTTTCCATCATTTTTATAACTAATGTTTACATTGTCTATCTGAAGCTGAATTGCATTTGTAGATTTGCTTCCAAATAAGATGTAGTAGGTCTTTTCTATGTTAAGTGTTAGTTTGTTGGTTGACATCCATAAGTGGACTTTTTTTAGTTCATTATTAACAACATTACTTAGTGTATGTGGATGTATCCACATACACTAAATACAGAGTACCACTTGGTTTCTGAACCCCTTGGGGACGAGACCCGTCGGTTAACATGTAAGTTCGTAAACGAGAAATAAAGAGAAAAAATTAAATAGAAATGTAAAAAAAAATTTAAGAAAAATTTACAGAAAAAACTCTAGGGGACGAAATCGACAGGTTCATAGCATAACTGCAACCGTATTTTGTTTGTACTCACCAATAAGTGAAGTCCTGATCCACTTCATAAAAGTTCTTAAATGTTCCTAGCTGATTATTAAGATGTCTGGCAAACTTCCTCTGGATGTTTCCTGCCATCCTGCAGGAACATCCTGCCAGCCTGCATACCAGCCTGCCTGCCAGCCTGCCTGCCAGCCTGCATGCCAGCCAGTCTGCCAGCCAGCTTGCCTGCCTCACTCTGCCTGCCTCCCTCCCTGCCATCCTGCTAACGGGTCGAGTGTGTTAGGCTTAAAATTCGGGAATGAGCCGGTTTCTCCCCCACCACCGACAAACCCACTCCCCCCTACATCCCATACTCTCTTTTAAAGGTCACACGGTTCAACCACGTGACTATCCCTGCCTCCTAGCTTGCCAACCAGCCTGCCTCCCTCTCTGCCTGCCATCCAGCCTGCCTCCCTCTCTGCCTGCCATCCAGCCTGCCTCCCTCTCTGCCTGCCATATCCAATCTGCCTTCCTCTCTGCCTGCCATCCAGCCTGCCTGCCTGCCTGCCTGCCTGCCTGCCTGCCTGCCTGCCAGCCAGCCAGCCAGCCAGCCAGCCAGCCAGCCAGCCAGCCAGCCAGCCAGCCTGCCTGCCTGCCTATGGCGGTATGTTCACTCACAAGATGAGTGGCGCTGCCCAATAAACTCGCCCCTCGGGGCAAAATTTAAAATTTAAAAGCACAGAATGAACATTCCAGCCTTATGACAATTCAAAATAATAGGAATAATAGGCCGTGAATCTGTGAAGTCACAGTGGGCAAACTGGACCATCTCCCACCCACCACCACAGGCCGGCATGACGCTTGGCGGACCCCTTCCAAGTTCGGGTAGCATGACTCTCCAACCCCAATCGGGAAACTGGAAGTTTCGGATAACTAAAGTTCGGAAACCAAGTGGTGCTCTGTAACATCATGATGATAACATGATGATCATGTTCATCATGGTATTCATGTGATGATGATTATGATAACATGATCATCCACATGATTAGTATTACATCCACATAGTGTATGTGGATGTAATACTAATCATATTTCCAAGTATGTTGACCAGACCACACTAGAAAGTGAAGGGACGGCGATGTTTTGGTCCATCCTGGACCTTTCTCAAGTCGATTGTGCTACAATCAACTTAATACTAGTAATACATGAAGTAATACATGTGATAATGACCATAGAGGAAAAACAAGAAATCATTCGTAAACATGAAAATGGTAAAGTGTTGTTGAACTAGCTAGGCAGTACAACAAATCTTCAGGGGGGGAGGAGGAGGTGGCAGGATGTCCCTTCCTCATTAATTAAGAAAATGTGTGCAGTATGGGATGAACTGCAAAGTTTTGCTGAAAAGAATAAAGCTGTAGAAGGCCGTTGCATTGATCTTATTAATGACAATGTGATGTCTCATTACAGACAAGTGTTACAAAGAAGGGAAAAACAATCTTCAATTTAACGATCTCTAGTGAGAAAATCAAGCAGTGAGCCAGAAGTAGGTCCTAGTGGTATGCAGGCAAAACATACCAGAGTGTGTACTCCAGAGAAGTCATCACTGCCTGATGTTATAATGGAAGGGGGACTCCCCCTTCCAAACAGTAACACCTCTCCTCCTCCCCCCTCCTCACCGTCTTCCATACGCCAACAGGAGTCATCAGTAGAGGTAAGTAATAACTTGTACATACTTTTTGTACTGAAGATTTAGGTGAATTAGGTATAAAATTTACTTTGAAGTTAATTTTTTGGGGAGTCAGGAACGGATTAATTCATTTCCCATTATTTCTTATGGGGAAATTCGCTTCGGTTTACGAATTTTCAGGTTATGAATCGTCTCTAGGAACAGATTAAATTCGTAAACTGAGGTACCCCTGTAGTTGTCTGTGAACAGGATATGCCCCTTGTTCAGCAACGGTACCATGAGTGTTTTAACGACACTGCCTGAGAACCCGTGTGGATCTAGACCTGGAATGTCAACGTCTGTACCTGAATACAGTATCATGTCCATGGCAATACCAGTTTTGCAGTCACATAGCACAAAAAACTTCCAGACCGGTGCCGCTTTGATGGAAAGTACTGCCTAAAAGCCAGTCATTCCTTGAGGAGGACTAGCGATTCATTAATCAGGACATTCTGTCCTGGTACAAAATAGTCATGGAACTTCCCTCTCAAATCACTAAATATCTTCTGCACCTTCCAGTCTATCCTGTCTGTGTTCATTATCATTGTTCTAAAAGTGCAGGCACCTGAGAAGCAGCAGGAACCTATCACGTGATATGAACCTGTTGAACACAGGGGGATGGAACAAGGCTGACTTTGCTCCAATAATCCTGGATCATGTGTTTTTCTGAGGACCTCATCATCATGCACAATGCTAAAAACACATACATTTCCTCATTTGTCATGTCTTTCCAACATGTCATGCGAGAGGCAGGTAAAATGCCAGTGTCAATGAGGCTGTGAGCATATCTGTTCGTCTCTGCAAAGAGATGGTCCATGAATTTCTTATCAAAATATGCCATAAAATAGTCAATTTCAGCCATATCATCACTAGTATAGGAGAATAAGGGTGTCACACCAACACTGGTACCATCAAATATTGAAATTTTGGGGACAAAAGTCTCACAATACTCCCACACAAGTACACCAGTGGTTTTGGCGCGAACACCATGGCCACTACCAGCACGAGGACCACCAGCACGGGCCCCAAAAACACGGCTCCGTCATCTTGTGCCAGAGCTGCATATGGGTATGCCAGGAGATGAGAGTGTTCTGCATAGCATAAGCCTACAACAAACACCTGATGTCAAGGGAACACTGTCGTCTTTGTCCTGAGGCCGCGTGACTCGCTGCCGCTTGCCTCAGCATGATGCTGGGGCACCAAAACCCCACCTATTAGCACCATTGCTGCTTGTACTCGGTTCGTTAACTCTGCTTGCATCGGAGCCTATGTCACTGAAGTCCAAGAATAATTCATCACATGAAGTATCACTAAATAAACTCACATCAGGGGACACACATGGTGATGGTGACTCTAGTGATGTTGACCCAGGGCAGCGAGGCGCATGTACTGTGCACACTCGCAACATCGTCCACCTTCGTCTCCCCATCACTCGAGTCCGACCCCTGTGTTACGTCTTTTTCAGGACTGTAGTCTAAATCATCCATCGCTCCATCATCATACAATATGTCCCGTGTTTCGTCCTCTGAGAGTTGTTTTGCTGGACCGCGGCTGATCATGGAGCTGGAGCTTGTCGACAATGTGTCAGACATTGGTTGCTTCCTTGAAGCTAAGGGTCCCCACGGCCCTGGGGTATGTTGGGATTTTTTTTTTCAAAACGGCGGTCGATCACTGGAGGCCTCGGGAACCCATTTCGTACCCACGTCACTGCGCGCCACTTTTGAATCGTACACTATACCTATGAGAGCCTTGAGGCGCGTTGTGCACCACCCATCGAGAGCCTCAAGGCACGTTGCGCAATGCAGTTGTTAAATCAAAGTATGACAAAAACCACACTTTAAGGGGTTAATAAGACATCTTTTGATAATGAATGTAAAACCATCACAAGACTTTCTCAATCATGCTCCTTACCTTCAGTCTCTTGATGCCTGCTCGAGTTATGAGCTGACAGTCATAGAGTTCAATTCGCTGAAGATTATGGCAGGACAAGAGGTGGTCTAAGGATGCATCCGTAATGAGAGGGCAGTTGTCCAACTCCAATACTGACAAATGTTCTGTAGAACAAGCAGAGACACCCAGGTGTCGGATACCTTCGTCTGTGATCAGTTCACAATGAGACAGGCTCTGTAAATAGAGAGGAAAATGGAAGACAAAAAGAAATACAAAATTACTGACAATGCATCATTAAAGACATTTAAGTTACAGTTTAATGAGCTAATGCAAATATAAAATACTCTTCAGTATGCAATACCACTGAATGTAATTTGGGTAATTTATTTGCCAATAACATCAATAATTTCAACTTAATCTGTACAATAATCTTAACTTAGAGTATAGTTATTACAGCTAAAGATTAGAGTTCCTGATCTATTACATGTTCACATGGGGGCTGAAGGGTCCTGGAAAGTGACTACAGAAGGAACTTTAAATTTGTTGGGCCCCAACTGGGTAAATTAACTGGTTAACCAATTACAGTACAGAATACAATAAATGAGCGCACATCAAATTACTTACTGAAGTTCCTATAGAGAGATTGGTGTGATGTGTACCTGGTGGAACAACCTGCCCTCCTAATACAACATCACACTTTGACAAGTACTCTAAGGCCAAACATTATTGTACTAGAAAATGGGGAAATCCACTATGGCTACAGGTGGGTGCGAACCTTCGACCCCAGCATTGCCAGTCACGTACTCTATCACTAGACCACCGATGACTGGTAAAAGTAATACAACCGGATTTCTACTGAAATCACAGGAAGTCTAGAAGCCCCCACTGAAGTTTTTATATATGACCCACAAGCATTTGGGTGGAAGGGCAGAGTGGTCACACACTTTACGCCCAAACTTCAGGAACACAAAGAAATCAGTGTGTTTCAGTGTTTCTGAAGTTGGGACGCAAGGTGTAGGATCACTTTGCCCTTCCACCCGAGTGCTTGTGGGTCACGAGAAAACACCTGGACTAGTTTCAGTAAGGGCCTTCAGACTTTCTGAGATTTCAGTAAAAATCCAGTTGTATGACTTTTAACAAGCCACGGTGATCTAGTGGTAGAGTATGCCACTGGCAATGCTGGGGCCGTAGGTTCGCGCCCACCAATAGTCCTAGTAGATTTTTTTGTTGATATATATCACGTTAATGTTATTTCTGTGTGGTACAGTGCTTCCTCAGTCTAACGAACCCCGCTCTATCGAATTCCCGGAAGAGCCGAACAAATTGAATTTGGTACCAAATGTTCAGTGGAACATACAAATGCTCGATTAAGCGAGGAATGTTCGTCTAAGCGGTCACTGAGGCCGAGCGTCGGAGCTGGCTGTCATCAACTATGATTCGCCAGAGTGTAAACAGTTATATAGTGTTTTATTATCCTTACCCATTGTTTCTAGGGAGAAATGGTGATAAAAATGGTGATAAAATGGTGTCAGAGGGGGCATTGGTGAAAGAGTTGTTGTCAGGAGGCAAGTGGTGTCAGTGGCTGTAGAGGTAACACGTGACTGGCACCTCCATGCTTCCCCTCCAGCCCCCCTTCCCCCTCCTTCCTGCTGCTTCTGACCACCAGAGACCAGCCACTACCTCACTCTCCTCTCGTCGTCAGATGCCACAAGTCAATTTAATGATAATTATCGCATTATCTACACTGAAAATAGCCTTTTTATTAGAAAATTGTCATATATACAGTAAATATTTTAAACAGTTTGAACACATTTCCTTTTCACAGAATTTTTAATACAGTTGGGGTGTAGATAACAGCTGGCATTGTGTGGCCGGCCGGTCGCTCCCTTGAGCCATTGGGGGGGGGGGAGGGGGGGTTTGTTTCCTAGATCCCTCCCTCCCTCCGTCTAACAGCCTACGCACTGTACTGTAATACATTAGGTATTAATACAGTACTGTACTGTATAAAATGAATAAAACTTCAAAACAGACAATATTTTATTAGTTATAACAACAAACAATATTATTTGAAAACAATTTGTAAGTATTTAGATTAAATTTTGAGTAGGCCAATAAAACAAGCACAGGTCATGTGAACGTTAGGCCTCGGTGAGGTGGCTGGCTGGGGGAGGCAGGTGGGGTCAGTGGTGGAAGGTGTTGTCAGGGGAGGTGGAAGTGGAGAGAGAAGGGTGCTGACCACGCATGGCTGCCAAACCTCTCATTCATACTCTATTAAAAACCTCAATCTTAGCTGTAAAATATTTATGCCAAAATATGTTAATTTTTGTGTATTAATATACATTATTAATCATTAACATGTTTTTTTGTTTCCTGTAGAAAACAATAGCTGACTTGGCATTGTGGTGTGTATGGCCGGGTACCTGGGGGGTGGGGGTGGGGGGGTCCTGGAGGTGTGAGAGGAGACCTGTCAACCCATCAATGTTTTTTTTGTCCGGCGAGTTGAGACGCTTCCAAGCCTGCTGCTTCAATACACCCCATGGATGGTGTGGGTGGTGTTGTTTGGGTGGTGTGGGTGGTTGTGGGTGTGGTGGGGGTGTGGGGGATGGTGTGGGGGGATGGTGTGGTGGGTGGTGTTGTTTGGGTGGTGTGGATGGTGTGGGTGGTGTTGTTTGGGTGGTGTGGATGGTTGTGGGTGTGGTGGGGGGTGTGGGGGGATGGTGTGGGGGTGATGGTGTGGATGGTTGTGGGTGTGGTGGGGGTGTGGGGGGATGGTGTGGATGGTTGTGGGTGTGGGGGGATGGTGTGGGGGGATGGTGTGGGGATGGTGTGGTGGGTGGTGTGGGGGATGGTGTGGGTGGTGGTGTGGGGGATGGTGTGGTGGGTGGTGTGGGGGATGGTGTGAGTGGTAGTGTGGGGGATGGTGTGGGTGATGGTGTGGGTGGTGTGGGTGATGGTGTGGGTGGTGTGGGGGTGGTGTGGGGGATGGTGTGGTGGGTGGTGTGGGGGATGGTGTGAGTGGTAGTGTGGGGGATGGTGTGAGTGGTAGTGTGGGGGATGGTGTGAGTGGTAGTGTGGGGGATGGTGTGGGTGGTGTGGGGGATGGTGTGGTGGGTGGTGTGGGGGATGGTGTGAGTGGTAGTGTGGGGGATAGTGTGGGTGGTGGTGTGGGGGGTGTGGGGGTGGTGTGGGGGATGGTGTGGTGGGGGCTGTGGGGGATGGTGTGAGTGGTAGTGTGGGAGATGGTGTGGGGTGGTGGGTGTGAGGGGTGTGGGGGTGGTGGTGTGGGGGATGGTGTGGGTGGTGTGGGGGATGGTGTGGGTGGTGTGGGGGATGGTGTGGGGGATGGTGTGGGTGGTGTCGGGGATGGTGTGGGTGGTGTGGGGGATGGTGTGGGTGGTGTGGGGGATGGTGTGGATGGTGTGGGGGATGGTGTGGATGGTGTGGGTGGAGTGGGGGATGGTGTAGGTGGTGGGGAGGATGGTGTGGGGGATGGTGTGAGTGGGGTGGAGGATGGTGATTCTCGAATCTGAGATTATTATCAACACCAAAAGAGCATGAAAGATATTATAATGTAGCACCACACAACAAGAAACAAACTAAAATTCAAAAGTTTTTGGTACTGTTCCACAGTAGGCCTACAGGACCAGCACTAGCAAGGACTCCCTTCATGAGTCAGGTGCAATGTTTCCTAATGCTAATGTGTCCTGGCATATGTTAAAAAAAAAAAAAAAAAAAATTAGAAGGTTGTTGGGGCCAGACAGATGGAATGAATTCCGCACTGGAACGAATCGGCTTCGCCCCATATAGTTCGTTCAAGTGAGGACACACTGTACTAGAAAATGGTAGCGGCATGCAAAATTGACAAATTATCTAGTTTCGGGCCCTTTGGTATAACACATCCTCCTATTTAGATAGTATTTTGTAACTATGTGCAACATAGTACAAACTTTGACATACTTAGCAATTAGATAGTAGAACTTTTTACTATTCACTTATAAAGTCCGAAAAAATTAAGCTAAAAAAACCAGCGTTGAATGTAATGACATGCCATTTTCTGGGTGAGACCTGGATGGATGGTGGGGGAACTGGATGGATGGCTAGGGGGAGGGGATTGGATGGATGGGTGGTGAAGGGGGACTGGATGGATGGTGAAGGGGGACTGGATGGATGGAGAAGGGGAACTGGATGGGTGGTGAAGGGGGACTGGATGGATGGAGAAGGGGGACTGGATGGATGGTGAATGAGGGACTGGATGGATGGAGGGGGGGACTGGATGGAAGGAGGGGGGACTGGATAGATGGCTAGGGGGGGGATTGGATGGGTAAGGGAGTGGATGGATGGATGGGTGGTGAAGGGGGACTGGAAGGATGGTGAAGGAGGGACTGGATGGATGGATGTTAGGGGGAACTGGATGGAGGGATGGTGGGGGGGTGGGACCCTGGATGGAGGGATGGTGGGGGGGGGACCCTGGATGGAGGGATGGTGAGGGGGTGGGACCCTGGATGGAGGGATGGTGGGGGGGGGGGGGGTGGGACACTGGATGGATGGTGAGGAGAACCCCCATCCCACCACTGGACCCTCCCTGCTACCCCCATCCCGCCACTGGACCCTCCCTGCTACCCCCATCCCGCCACTGGACCCTCCCTGCTACCCCCATCCCACCACTGGACCCTCCCCGCTACCCCCATCCCGCCACTGGACCCTCCCTGCTACCCCCTTCCCACCACTGGACCCTCCCCGCTACCCCCATCCCGCCACTGGACCCTCCCTGCTACCCCTATCCCGCCACTGGACCCTCCCTGCTACCCCCATCCCACCACTGGACCCTCCCCGCTACCCCCATCCCACCACTGGACCCTCCCCGCTATCCCCATCCCACCACTGGACCCTCCCCGCTACCCCCATCCCGCCACTGGACCCTCCCCGCTACCCCCATCCCGCCACTGGACCCTCCCCGCTACCCCCATCCCGCCACTGGACCCTCCCCGCTACCCCCATCCCACCACTGGACCCTCCCCGCTATCCCCATCCCGCCACTGGACCCTCCCCGATACCCCCATCCCGCCACTGGACCCTCCCCGCTATCCCCATCCCACCACTGGACCCTCCCCGCTACCCCCATCCTGCCACTGGACCCTACCCGCTGCCCCCATCCCACCACTGGACCCTCCCCGCTACCTCCATCCCGCCACTGGACCCTCCCTGCTACCCCCATCCCGCCACTGGACCCTCCC